CATGTATGAGCTTTTGAAGAGACCAAAAATAGCAAAGGGATGCCTAGGTGGGGTGGGGCAGAAACAATTATTTGGGATTTTTTTTTTCCTTTAAAGTACAATCACTGTGGAGCAAAGTGCAACATATTTGTTCTCCAAAGAAATCCACCCCTCCAACCCCAATCTGACCCAGATCTTTGGGGGATCAGTCTCTTTCAGTTCCACAGTCAGGACCTTAAGTTCAGGTTAACTCCACCCTAGGCAGTTATGCAATTACTTAAGACATGGTCTGCCATGGGAGCCTGAGGAGGATACACTTTGGAGAATGAACATGGAGTTTGCATTGTTTTTTCTACTACACTATGTTAGGGGGAAAACGGACTCTTGGCATTAGCTAGCCTGAATGTGTTACATGAGACTCACACCGTTGGTGTGGAATTAATTGAAGATTAACGTTTGAGGCCTGAACCCTCAGTTTCTCTTCAGATCTGTACTTTGGTACAGTATTACTCAGGGGTCTGAAATGATAGAATGTAGAAGATATTTGTATTTTAAAAAAAAAAAGAAGTAGCTTTGTCTTTCTCTGTGCAGTGTTAGTTTAAGATTTATAATCTTATATGTATTGAAACTTTTGGCAAAATTTCCACAGGAGTTAAAAGTTTACTATTTAAAACTGAACAAACAAATCAGTAAATGCAGAGCAGGCACTGTATGCATTTATGCAGCTTCTCCTTGCTGAAATTCCTTTTTTTTTCATTCTTTAAAAATGTTTCCAGTCTCTAAGCACACTATGTCCATGAGAATATGGAACAGAGTTTTTATCTTTTACAAGGAGAACCTAATTCAGTAGTTGAGCCAATTAAAAAGCTTTCAGCGGTCACCCCATACCCACCCTGTTTGGATGGAATTAAGCCAGGAAAGCTACATGTCAGGCTATGGTTCTGTGTGGCGTGGAATTAGTTTCTTTCTTTTCTGGGCCTCAAGCAAAGCTTCCTTTAAAAGATACACTGAGTATCAGCTACCTTATACTGACAACACAAAAATCGCTGAAATGGGAAAAAGAGCCAGAGAGAGACACAACCGTTTTAATCCTGGTGAGGAGTAAGAAAGTGATTCTCTTGTGAGGAGTAAGAAAGATTCCATTAAAGTCTCTGACTCACTAAAATCAGCAGGGGATGTTTGTTCAATATGAACAGTGTAAGTTTCTACAGAGTTCTCACCAATATATTTTAATCAGAAACAGACTTTTAGAAAATGTTCTAGAACAAACTAAGTCTATTGGAAGTTTATGCTTAAATTGCTCCAGGTCTCATCATTAAACAGTCTCTTTGACATTTTTCTTATTAGCCCATATGTACCCACTTAAAATGGCCATTGTTACTTGAACTGATGTCTTATCTGTGGCCTGAAACTGAGAGGGGGCTGACTAAGCCTGCATTTACTTAGAACAAATAATGTTAACCAACCAGCTTTATTAGCTTGTGAAAAAAAGGAGTTTACAGTAGTGAAAAGATGGAATGTACTAATCTAAAACTGGTTTGCAGATCTCTTGGTTTTAATATAGCTACTTATGATGCTTTAAATGTATTTTGAAATGAACAATTCCTTTAAACCCCATGTTTTTTAATTGTCCTTCAAAGAGGATCTGCCTTATGTATTCTTTAAAAATACTCCTTAATTTTAGTACAGCAGAATTTTTGGTAAAGAGGTACGTTTTGAAGCAGGTTGATTTAGATATGAATGTATTTCAATTGTTCCTGTTTTGCTGAAAGGGCCTAATGCAGATGATATCAAGAAACCCACTGTTTGTGCAATATTCCAGTAATATTTACTATATAGAGCAAATAAGATACTTGAAATAATTCCAAAACAGTTGTACCTGGGGCAGATGGCCTCTCAGGGTTTCTTCTGGCTTTATGGCTTCAAAGTCTAAAGCGTGTTTTTTAAAGTAGTAACTTTAGATGCAGGTACTCCACGGCTGCACTCTGAAAAATCAAATAACTGTGATCTCTTAAATACTATTTAACCCTGTGGAAGAGAAAGTGCCGGAAAAAAGCCAAAAAGACCATCACCCCAATGATGGAAAATTCCAGATGACCTGCCTATTCTTTTCACTGCTTGTATTACTAAGGTTTGGATCTTTTAAAATCACCTTATCAGTATAATTCTTTAGAGAATGTTAGGTCCTTTTCCTTTAAGGATAAAATTGCACAAGCCCAGACACCATGATTTGTTAATACATACCTTGGTGTGTTCAGCTTCAAGCCTTGCCATCCTTTAGAACATTGTGGTATGAATGTGTTTGCTAGGCCTGCATAATAATTGACCTATAGACCTGTTGAACCTTGCCATGTAGGACAGTTCACACAGGTTAATACTGAATGTAAACTAAAATTAGAATGAGGATTGTTGTATTCAATTATTTTGGCTGTAATTTATGCAATTGCTTTTTGTGATTTTTAGAAAAGGAGGCACCTGTGTTACTTTATTACTGTAAAATTTTCTTAACCAAAATTTGGTGAATTTCACTAGTTGGTCTACCTCACATTTTGTTTATGATTCTAAACTGTCTTTTAAGTTGTGTCTACAGTATGTTGTCCTTTCATTTAATTTGGTGAATGTATTAAAATTCTTTCCCACTCCCCCAAAAAAGAAAAAGTTTGTTTTCTTTACACTAATTTTCTGGTATGTTCAAAAATGGAATGAGCTCCCTACCACTGGCAATGTCCAAAAAAGACAGAGTCCACATATCACAGGTTGGATGGCTCTAAGAGTTGACTATTCTCTGGCTTAACAGTCCAAGAAAGTGTTAATACTTGCTGAATGAAAATCTGTAGCTTATACAAAGAAAATACACACATATAAAGTATCTACACACCATGCCCATTTGTAGAGTTCCACATTATGGATGACAGATCTAAAAATGATTTTTAGAGATATTAGAAATACTCAGAGTATATCCCCAATCTTTTATAGATGGCAACTACACTCATTTGGGGTCCTCAGAAGCAGAACTTTGCTTCTGCGAGTTGCAAGAACTGTGTAGTATGACAGAAGGTGTTAATCTCCAATTTATTTCCCAACTACCTACTTTTAAGAATAACTCTGTTACGGGCGCCTGGGTGGCTCAGTCGTTAAGCATCTGCCTTCGGCTCAGGTCATGGTCCCAGGGTCCTGGGATCGAGCCCCGCATCAGGCTCCCTGCTTGGCGGGAAGCCTGCTTCTCCCTCTCCCACTCCCCCTGCTTGTGTTCCTGCTCTCGCTCTCTCTCAAATAAATAAAATCTTTAAAAAAAAAAAAAAAAAGATGCTCAACCGACTGAGCCACCCAGGCGCTCCAGACATTTCTATAATGAACCAACTATTCAAGGGCAGCTGACAAATTCATAGACATACTTATACAATCACAATTATAGAATCACTTCTTTTGAAGTTTGACTGTGGCCATTAGTGTATACTCACTGTGTCCATTACTGCCTCCACCACTCCGAAAAGACCGCTCTTTTTCTAGTGTCATTCTTCAGCCTTCAGTTGCGATGTGATAGCGCTGACCATTCTTGATTTTTAAAACTCTTCTTTTGGTTTCTACCACTCTCTTCTGATCCTCTTACCTCTTCCGAGGTACTCTTCTTTTGAGACTCCTAAATGATGGTGTTCCTCACAACTCTTTCCTATCCTGTCATTTTACAAACCCCATGGTGGGGACATCTCTTCTAAACCTTTGAATAACTACATTAATAAATTTCCTTAGTTCAAACTTCTCCAAACTCTAGATCAACATATCCAATTATATACCAAACAGGTATCTCCACTTGGAGATTCTGCAACCACCTCAAAATCTTTACCAAAATTGAGTTCATCCTTTCTGGTCCAATCCTCCCAACATAATTCTCCAGTATTCCCTTCTCAGTCAATCCATCTATCCAGTTACCCAAATCAAAATTCCAAATTGCCCTAGATTCTTTGCCATGATCCTTGTCCAGCTGGTTATCAGCTCTTTCAATTCTTCAATTCTATCTTCCCCAAGTTTATCTGTCTCCTCATTTCCATCAACACATCAGTTTTAGTTCTTTGTTTCAACATTTTTCACACAGACTGCTACAGTAGTCTCTCAACCTTCTAGGTTCCAGATTCCTCATTTGAGGTGTCATGATAAAATAATGCAGCACTATACAGAAGGCGTGACACATAGCAAACACTCAAAACTCAGAAGTCATTAATACTGTTCTTAGAGAAATATCTAGACTACAAAAGTTATTTGAGGGGCTCTGTTTTCAATATAAACATGAAAATAATGGTTTTCCTAATAACTGTAACATTTAAACCAACCAATGTATATTCTCTACTCCCAGGTCCCCTTAAAACCACCAAGTTTGGCTCCACAAAGAAGCATACTATGGCTTCTGTGGAAATTGGGTCTGTATTATGCTGTATTATGAAATTAACAGTTACTAGAGCATCTACACTATACCTGAAAATGTCCTCTTTTCAAAAGTTACGCTCCTTGTCAAGCAAATGAGGACACCAAGGATGACGAGAATAGTTTCTAGTCCAAAGGGAAAGGGAGTGTCAAAGTCAGACTATCATGACGAGTCAGAGGGAAATATTTACACCTCTACAAACAGAGTACAGAGCTTTATACCACTCTCTAAGTTTAAAAAGCATACACCTATTGGGGGGGGGGGGCGTAAAATACACACCTGCTCATTTAAAGCCCTAAATTTTGGCTGGTTTTTAATGGAGATATGATTATTTCAGCTCATAAAAATAATCTATGCTAAATGAAGTGGTGCTTCATTCTTGGGCTATGGCTCTTTCTTTCTCTGAAAGACCAGAAAAATTCTCATGTTAGGATTGTGCCTTTTGAAGACCAAGTTCAGAGTTGTTACAGATATACTGGTCCTCTGGCAAAATGGTGAAACTTATAAGAAGCTGGTGTTTTAATTATATTTTAACATATCAAACTTAACTCCCTGAAAAAGCACAAATGACAACACACTATTATCACATTTAACACTTAGAAAAAGCTATCAAGTATTTTATTATTTTATTCTACATTATATACAGGTCATAAAAGGCCACAGCAGTTTTTCAACATATAAACCCTTTAAAAGTAGAGGGCACTATGAAGGATTGACAAGTATCAAAATGAAGTCCAGTAACGCGGGCATATACTCAGTGTAGTATTTCTGAGGAATAACAAAGCAGATACCAAGTCATCCATAGTTAGCTTACAACTATTCCATAGGTTTTTATAAACCTCTTTGGGATTTGTTAATAGCCTAAGTGTGCCCAGGTGCCACTTACTTTAAGAAATAAAACCGGAATGAAAGAAAAATAAACTTTAGAGGGTACTTTATAATTCTAGTCACTTTATAGCTCTCCAAGAAGAAAAGCCTCAATTCTTTACCACCTTCCACTTCTTCCTGCATCAAGAATAGGAAAGAAAGAAAGGGAAGAAAATGCTCAATATTCCAAATTCTTCCTGCTTATTTGGAACTATGCCTTTTTGCAGGGGTTCCTTCAAAATGTATTTCAGGCCCTTTAAGAATTAGCTTTGAATTCTTTGACATGCAATATTGCACCCTCCTTGAATAAGAACCAAAAACATTGGTTCCCGCTCTGTAAAAATACAATCTTTAAAACTATAACTGGTATCAGCAGATCAATATAAAAAAATACAGTACCAAGCTACACTGGTATATTTCCATATTAAGAACTTCAAAATATACTTATCACTGAGACCATAGTCCTTGCATTAGTTTTCAGTCCACTATGAACAATTATCTGCTGCATGTAAACATGTCTAAATAACTATAGATAAAATACATCAATCATAAATTTCTGTAAAAGATAATAAAATATCTTCTTTAAAAAACAAAACAATAATAAGCTATTACTGCATTGTTTCCAATTTTATGAAAATGGAACAACCTTACGGTTGTTGCCAGTCCTGAGTTCATTGTAATAAAAATGGCCCTAGTTCCTGGTTAAAGTCAGCAACCAATCCATTCTCTTCAGTAGATGTCTTCTAGTACTGCAGGCACGAATTTGTTTTAGGTGCTATTTTGTCCATTAATAAAATTATATACCAGAAACTGACCAGTGCCACAGTACTGTGTTGCAAACAGTTTTCCATCAGGAGTGGGATCTGAGAAAGCAATTTCTTCTTTACTCAAATATGAGCCATATATAAAGTTACTCCTATCAAAAAAGGGAGGGGGTGTGGAAGGGTAAAAAAAAAAAGAAATTAACATTTTTATCATAAAAACTGGAAAAACCTATCAAGTAAAATTTGACCAGCAAAACTTTTAGGTAATGTTGTATGTTCTAAAAATTGTTGAAAATAATCGCTCATCTAGATTATTAATAACCTGAGGTAAAAAATTTTTATGAAAGTAACAATGGTTTTAAAAAACATTTACCCAACACCTTTTCATGATAAAAATACTCAACAATTCTGAGTAGAAGGAACTTCCTCAACCTGATAAAGAGCATTAGGCAACATCAAAATTAATGTGAAAGACTGAAAACTGTTTCCCAAAGATCAAGAACAAGGAAAGCTATCTGCTTATACCTCTTCTATTCAACAGTGTACTTACTGCAGTCTCCAGCCAGGGTAATTAGACAAGGAAAAGAAAATAAAAAGCAGATTAGGAAGGAAGAAGTAAAACTACCTCTTTCTGGAGACAGTTTTGGATGATCTTGTATATACAAAAATCCTAAGGAATTCACAAAAAAACCTATTAGATCTAACTAGAAATGAGTTCAGCAAGGTTGCAGGATACAAGAACAATATTAAAAAATTAACTGATTTTCTATATACTTGAAATTAACAATCCAAAATGAAATTTTAAAAACAATTCCATTGATAATAAAATCAAGAGAATAAATACTCAGGATTAAGTTTAACAAAGAGGTGCAAGATTTGGAAACTTAAATAGAAAGACATGCCATGTTTATGAATCAGAAGAACTACAGCTGGCTTTGCAGAAATTAACAAAGTGGTCCTAAAACTCTCATGAAATTGGAAGAGTCACTGAACAGTCAAAAGAATCTTGAAAAAGAACAAAACTAAAGAACTCACACTTCCTTATTTTGCAACATACTACAAAGCTACAGAACTAAAAGCAGTGTGCTATGGCTGAAGAACAGACTGATGGAATAGAACTGAACAGTCCAGATAGAAACCCTCGAAATGAATGATTTTGACATGGGTGCCAAGACCATTCAATGGAAAAGAATAGTTTAACAAATGGCACCGGGACAACTGGATATCCACATGAAAAAGAGAACATTGTTGGATCCCATCTCACATCATACACAAAAATTAACTTAAAATGGATCAAAGACCTAAATGTAAGAACTAAAAGTATGAACTCTTGGAAGAAAATACAGGTATAAATCTTTGTAGCCTTGCATTGAGAAATGGCTTCTTAGGACACCAAAAACACAAGTGACACAAGAAAAAGATATATAATTTGGAGTTCAAAATTAAAGACCTTTGTGCTTCAAAGGACACCAAGAAGATGAAAAAACAGCTATGAAAAGGTAGAAAATATCTGCAGATCTTAGACCTGATAAGGGACTTGTCTCCAGAATAAAGAACTATTACAGTAAGAAAAAGATAAATTAATTTAACAATGGACATAGGATTTGAATAGGGAGTTCTCTGAAGAACATCCATAAATGGCCAATAAGCACATGAAAAGATGCTCATTAGCCATTAGGAAAATGTAAATCAAATCCAAAATGAAATACCACTTCATACTCACTAGGATGGCTAAAATTAAGAAGACAGACAATAACAAGTGCTGATGAGGATGTGGAGAAATTAGAACCCTCATACGTTGCTGGTGGGAGTGTAAAATAGTGTAGCTGCTTTGATAATCAGTTTGGCAGGTCCTCAAAATGTTATACATACAGTTACTATATGGCCCAACAATTCTGCTCCTAGGTATACACCAAGAGAAACAAAAACATGCAAATACTTCTCTACTTACCAAGGGAAATAAAAATACACAAAAATTTGTACATGAATGTTCACAGATTATTCATAATAGCCAAAAAAGTGTAACCAAGCCACCCCGTTCATCAACTGATGAATGAATAAATGAAATGTGGTACATCCATACGGTGGGATTTTAACTGGCAATAAAAAAAGGGATGAAGCAGGGGCGCCTGGGTTGCTCAGTTGTTAGGCGTCTGCCTTCGGCTCAGGTCATGGTCCCAGCGTCCTGGGATCGAGCCCAGCATCCGGGCTCCCTGCTCCACGGGAAGCTTGCTTCTCCCTCTCCCACTCCCCCTGCTTGTGTTCCCTCTCTCGCTATGTCTCTGTCAAATAAATAAGTAAAATCTTAAAAAAAAAAAATTTAAAATTTAAAAAAAGGGATGAAGCACACAAATACATACTACAACATGGATGATCTTTGAAAGCATGCTAAGTAAAAGAAACCAGTCAAAAAGGTCATATATTATAGGAATCCATTTATATGAAATGTTCAGAATAGGAAAATCCATTCAGATAGAAAGTAGATTAGTGATTGCCAGAAGCTGGGGGAGAGGGAAATGGGGAGTGACTGCTAATGGGTATGGGTTTTGGGGGGACAGTGATGGAAATGTTCTGGAATTAGATAGTGGTGATGGCTGCACAGCCTTCTGAATATATTAAAACCCACTGAATTGTATAATTTAAAGAGATGAGTTTTATGCTATGTAACTGTATCTCAATAAAGCTGTTATTTAAAAGTTTTTCTTCAATTTAGCCAGGATACAGACTATTAGAATTTTCACACTATAATCTTAACAAGGTGAGTTGGTACATAAGAAAGAACAATAAATGAAAAAAGTAGAAACTCTTCATGAGTTTTAACAGGAAGCTTATGGGGGCATCTCACTATCACACAGAACAAATGCAATGGCTAGACTGTGTAATGTTTTTATAAACTAGAACCATCTTAGGGTTGTCATAAGACCTAAATTTACAAGATTTAAAGGAGGTGCAATACCCTCATATTTAGGACTATTATTTAAGCAGCTGCATTTTCCAGGTTTAGTTTTGAAAGAGCTAAAAACAGACCTGCCTCTTTCATGAAAAGGGCGGGTAGACCTGAGCCCTCCTGGATCACTACTTACAATAAAATAAGAGGGAAAGACCAGAAACACATTAAGGTCTAAGATTCCTAGAGCCTTAGGATCTCACAACCATGATGGACTACTTTGAAAGCTAAACCTACAGATAACAGCAGACAGGGATTCCAGAAATAAACAAAAACATGAGACTGGCATAAAAACCTCATCTGTGTGATTAATTTGAACCTCCATTAATCCTCTGGCAAAGGTGCCTTTTTAAAGAACAAAAAACAAAACATGCAATTTATCTGAGTCTTTTCCTCTATACCTTTAATTTAAAATCAAGCAATAAAAATAGCAAAAAGAAAATCTAGTAGGAGACTTAGATAATTTACAAATAATATTCTTAATTTAAGACAAATTTTTCTAAAAGCAATTTTAAATTCCAAATTCCCACATTTATTTGGTTATTTTTAAAATTCTCCAATATTGAACAGTTTGAAATAAGTGGGTTATTTTGGCCTAATATCATAGTTACAAGTAAGTAAAAATAGTTTAACAGTATTTAACTGATAGTGCTTTCTCTCCCCTCAGATTAACTTCACATAAAAAACAAAGATCCAATACACTGACAATCTTATGCAAATTTTAAATTAAGATAAATGTTATAGATTTAAGATTAAATGCCAATCTTAATACTAAAAATCTGCTTAAATCTTAAAACTACAGAAAACAACTTGAAGAATCACATTCAAGTTACCTTAGGCATTCAATCATGCGAGAAGCAATTTTCTTCCGACGCATCATGCTGAATACCCATATCCGACTGATTCCACAGATTGCAGGCTCTGGCAATGTTGAACAGCACCAGGCTTTTTGCCTTTCAAATCTGACTTTTTCTTCCTCTGACCTGATAACTGGATGTTTCTCTTCTATAACTCTGTAGCCCTAAGGTATCAAAATTAGAGGGAAAAATTTAAAGTGAGAATATTAATTAGCAATTGTCTCGTACTGACCTTAGTGAGGAGGCTGCTACATTTGTCTGGCTTAACAAACTATGGGGGCCACTTATGCTTTCGCTCCCACTTTAGGAAACAGATCTGAATCTACATTCTGTTCTAATTCACTTACTAGTTATGTGACCACAAAAGCAGTTAACAAATTAAGATTTGGGTTCCTTATCTATAAACTAGAGATAGCTACCACTTCTGTCAGAAAATTGTAGAGAAATTAAATAAGGTAATACATATAAAATACCTTGCCCATCATGGCTGGTCCATAATGGCAACTGTTATTTTTTTCTCTACCTCCCACATTCTAAGGACAAGCAAAAGTACACATCAAGAACTCAGCAGTCATAACGATTGTTTCTGCGATTACTGCCATAGTTCTAGGGTTCATAGCTGTGCAGGAACTAGGACTAGGGATGGCAGAAAAATAAAAAATTCAAAAAGCTGCTTTCCCCACATTTCCATCTCTTTAAAAAAAAAAAAAAAAAACTAAAGTGCTTTAAAAAACATAGTATCTCCTCTACCAGTCTAGCTGAACAGCCAGCCTTCTAACGGAACATGGTACAAATCTTAAAACAATTAGACAATACAATGAAGAATTAACAAACCAACATTACACAGCTACCTTCTAAACATTGCAAAAGTGATTTTTGGAACTAGGCAGAATAGAAATTAAAAAAAACACAAAGGTATACACTATGTAAAATTAACTCAATTTCAATATGGCAAACTCTGTAAGTCATTTTACATCAAATTTCTATCCCCAAATTACCTTATCACAGCTATTCATTTAAATCAATTTTGTTAATATAAATAGCAAGATTCATAAAGCCATGCAATTTAAGACTGATTTTTTAAATTAACATATAGAAATTAACTCATAAAGACTTGTATTGACTTTTTATAAGAAAATTTTTATGATAAAACATGTTTGCAGGAAATTATTAATATACAGAAAGATACCAACTGAACAAAAGTCAAATCCAATGTGCACTGAATTCACAAACAAGAACTCAGCTGAAAAAAGAATTCAAATGAGGTATTCCTCAAAATGAGCATGATTAGAGAGTCCAGAATCTTCTGTTCTCATAAGTTGGTCAGTTACTACATAACTTACACAATGTGAATATATCCCTTTTATTGTGATTCTTTTATTTTTTGTACAATTTGGCTCCTAAATACAAGTCATCTTCTCACCTAGAGCTCAAGCAAAGAAGTGGTGATCTATTGGGGGGGTGGGCAACTTTTTATAAAGAACCAGATAGTATTTAGGCTCTGCAGCCCACCAGGGTTCTGTTGCAACTACTCAATTCAGTCTAGTGTGAACCAGCCAGAGACAATGTGTAAGCAAATGGGCATTGCTTATATTATATTGTATTTAAATTATATTGTAATTATAATGAAATTTTATTTAAAAAAACAGGCTGGATTTTGCCCTTGGGCAATAGTTTGCCAACCTTTGCTTTTATTCCAATGCTGAAGGAATGGAGACAAACATTACATTAGTACCCAACATGGAAACTTCCTAAACAAAATTTAACAGTACTTTTTGATTTATAGAAGTTTTATTTTATATTAGACTTGAGAAACTAATTCCCATAAAAGATACAATTCTGCTTAGTAAAAACTTACACACGGCAATTCCAACATTCACATGCTTCCCTGTATAAAATGTAAATTTACCAGGATTGCGTTATTCAAGATTACACAGTACACTCTTAGACACCAAATTACAAATCAGAACACTCTTTAAAAGTCACTTACCCACTGGATATGTTCTGCAATTAGGCAGCCAACTACTTTTTTGTCATTAGAAATAAAGAGAAGTGTTTTAGTTCTGGAATAGCACATTAGTGGGGCCTGTTGGAAACCTAAATCATTATCAACCATCTCTCTAATCTCGTCAACCTGCCAAATAAAGAACAGTATTTTTTGTAACAATGAAAGGAAGCATTGTATACATGTTAAAACATACTATTTCAGTTCAGTAAGTTGAGTATATTATTCCAAGCAGTATATCGCCTACAGAAGAGCTCTTTGCAATGATTATGCTAACCAGTAAATGTTTCTCAAGGCCTGTGGAACAACGTGCAAAATGGGGAAAGAACTGGACAGTAATGCCAAGCCCAGCAGTCCAAATAACAAGAACAGTGAGAGCTCCTACAATAGACAGTAAGAACATTAAAGCATTAGAAGCATCATTGGTTTAAGAATTGAAGAGAACTTCACTGGAATCTTAGCCAGGCAAGCACTTGTCTTCCCAAGCCTTAATTAGTACTCTCATCAGTAAAATGGAAGTGGTACTATGCAAAGCACTTTATAAATATTATCTTATTTAAATCCAACATCTCTTGGGTCTATGGTCCCTCATTTTATATATGCAAAAAGGAAGTTCAAAGGTAACTTTCCCATGTCAGATATTGGACATCTAGAAAACCAAAGAGCAGAGATAATGCTAATATGGCATCAAACTGTGCTTCTTCTAGTCTACCTCCTAGAACTGTGGTCAAGGTCAAATATGATAAGCTCGAGCTTCTGGAGGCTCAAAGTCAAAGGTTTCTGTAGGTAATCAATCATTAGTTCCTTCTCCAGTTAAAAAATAAAATGCTAATATTCAGTCCAACATTCATTTGTATTACTAAGTTTAAAATTAAAATAACCCCTCGGAGGATTAAGTATTCATATCTCTGACATGCAGAATACCATGTTCAGGGATGAAAACTCAAGTCCTCCTAATCCTGGAACAGTGTCCCATAACACAACTCACAATTCAGTTCCTAAAAGCAAATGACTCACAATTCCTTAGATTTTAATTTTTAACCCACTATGGATTACTAACTAGTAACATACTACACTGTTATTAAGATTTTGCCCTAAGAAACTAAAATGAGGAAGTTAGCATTTACTGAAGATTCTTAGTTAAGGAAAGTCTGAATGCCACATATGGTGGTGCAGCAAAGTTCCCACTGTTCATTTCCAATGGTAATAGTTGGAATTCCAAAAATTACATAATTTAATTTTCATTTAGTCAATCACTAATCCAGTATTAATTAACAAGTATTTGTTTTTGTGACAAGGATCAATGTTTCAAATACAAGACAGGTGGCATGGTTACATGTCATTCTAAATGTTATTGTCTGTATTATTAGGCAGTGGTAGTATGGGGGCTTATTTGGTTATCTGGGATTGTCCAGTCATACATAATACAAGGCATGGGAAAAGTCAAAAACCACAAGATAAAGTAGAATGTTAGTTATATTTTCAAATAATAGGGTCACCCTTTCAAGTGAAGTTTTCCTAAATTTAAAGAGGTCCAATTGTTAACCTAAAAAAAAGAACAATAAATAAAACATTTCCCTTGTGTTTCCTAGACATTTTGGACACACTCTAGTGAAACTAAGTTTTTCAAAAGACAACTGGACCCACCGCTTTACATTATAAGGTACTTCTGAAAAAGCAGATGGAGGGTGAAGAAAACACTTTGAGCATATTATTTGAAAATGTAATTAATATTAAGTCATTTCAAAATAAGTTTATCCTATGGTTTCCTGCCTTTTAAGATACCCAATATAATAAAATGAATCCAGACTTCACCATCTCTCTGAACCCTCAAAGTATGAAAATCTAAAAGCTGGACTAAGCCTGGCTCACACCAGATAAGAGGATTTCTTTAACATTTTATGATTACCTCATGTTTAATTTCAGAATTTCTATGACTTTTTGAAAAAGATTTATTTATTTATGAGAGAGAAAGAGCAGAGCAGTGGGGGGAGGGACAGAGGGAGAGAGAGTCTCATGGGAGACTCCCAGCAGAGCCCAACATGGGGCTCGATCTCATGACCCTGAGATCACAACCTGAGCCAAAACCAAGAGTCAGATGCTTAACCGACTGTGACACCCAGGTGACCCTCTATGACCTATTATTGTATCTTCTTCTACAATAAGCTTTTATTTAAAAATTTACCCTCAACATGAAACTTTACAATTGCTAATTTTCTTATTGTCAAATTTTAATTATAATTCTGATTCTTTTTTAATGAAAGTAATACTTTTTTCAAATTTTTAACTAATAGATTTATTTATTTATTTTAGAGGAAGAGAGCACAAGCAGGGGGAGGGGTACAGGGAGAGGGAGAGAGAAGCCCAAGCAGACTCTACACTGAGCAAGGAGCCCAACGTGGGGCTCAACGCAGGGCTTGATCTCACAACCCTGAGATCATGACCCTAAGATCATGACCTGAGACAAAATCAAGAGTAGGACGCTTAACCAACTGAACCACCCAGGCACACCCCCAAGTTTTTTATTTATTTAAGTAATCTATGCCCTATGTGGGACTCGAACTCACAACCCTGAGATCAAGAGTAACACGATCTTGCAACTGAGCAGCCAGGTGCCCCTGTAATTCTGACTCTTAAAGTCACTAATGTGGCATTATAAACTAGCATGCCTTTTATTCCATCACTCGAATTACTGATAACATGGGACAGTAATCACTAAAAATTTATTTCACATATCCTAGACACATAAGTTTAAGCATAATTTTTAAGTATATTCTTTAAATGCTTATTTGTTGTTTTCAGAGCTGGTGCTTAAACATGCTATGCCAGTAATGCGCTATCCTGTTAAGATGACTACAAAATTACATTATCTACGGGCACCTGGGTGGCTCAGTTGGTTAAGTACCTGCCGTAGGTTTGGGTCATGACCTCAGGGTCCTGGGATTGAGTCCCTTGTCGGGCTCCCTGCTCAGTGGGGAGCCGCTTCTCCCTCTCCCTCTTCTCCTCCCCCACTCTCTCAAAAAATTAGACATTATCCATTCTACATGAATTTTCACTGGACATTTACCTTTTTCAGAGCATACTTTGGGTCTTCAGGAAGAACCATTATTATCCTGCCATCAGGATATTCAGCCAAAATTCTTTCTTTTTTCCAACCCTAGATATAAAAAATATGAATGAATTTTATGTTATATTTCATTAATCACATTCACATATAAGAAGAAAAATATATTGATGTATCTAAAAATTGCAAGTATGGAAAAATATTCTCATTAATGTTTAACTGATAAGATATGATGAATCAGCTATTTTGTTAAGCATACAGTGGGTACAATGCAAACTAATTCCTCTATACTACTCATTCAGTAATCTAATACCACAAGAATATTCTTAATTTATCATTTCCCATTTTAAATTAATTTTGAAAATCACGCACCAAAAGCAAGCCCCTTAAAAGTCAGTGATTCCCAGAGCCTAAAAGATAATTCTCCCATTTCTTGATAAAAGAATTTAACTCTTAAATTTCTTTGGAACATGGTTACCTCCACAAACAAACACTCATGGTTTTATGTCTGGCATGCCAAAGACCTCCAGGAGGTTTTAAATGAACTGATTTGCATGCAGTAGCCCAGTATGTAGTAAGGAATAGTTTTTATTCTTATTGATCACAACTATCAAAGTCACAAGAAGGAGACTATAAAAATATAACTACCTTCTAAGAATCTAATAGGGAAGGAGAAGCTACGTTGTGTGTATCTGAAGTTAAACATACTCAAAAAAAGAGAGGTAATAAACTCTTCTTCAGATCCACACTCGTGGTGATTAATGAGCAGAACCTGCATGAAAAACAAAACAAAACAAAAGCCACTTAAATCTAGTAAGATGGGACTGAACCAGAGGTTAAAACTAGGAGCTTTGAAGTTAATAATAAGTACAGAAGGAATGAGCTTAACTGGTTGTTTCATTTGTCTTACCCAACCAACTTTACATAAAAAAAAAAAAAAGAAAAAGGGCCTTTTAAGAAGGAATATGTACTTCTACTAGAGAAAACCATGATCTTCTGAGATCTTTTAAGACAATGAAAGCTCAATAAAACCAAGAAAAAAATTACTACATTTTTTAAAAATATTATGGCAAGTCAGAGAAGAGGCTGATTTTCTTAAACAATTTAGAATGATTTTTTGAGGAGAGGGGCAGGATCTTGGGGACAAAAAGTCTAGTAATAAGCTTAGTAAATGTAACAATCTGAAGTATTTAAAATGAGAATTCATTTAAAAAATAGAGCACCCAAAGATAAAATAAGCTTCAGGTGATTATAATTATGATTGGTTAAAAAAGTTCTCAAGATTTGAAGAGCAGAACAACAGCCACATAAGTCATTTTTTTTTTCAATTTAGAAATTAAATCTGAATTTAAGTACACAATTTTTAAAACATATAAAAGATATCACCTCTTTAAAAACAAATTTATATTACTATGTTAATTTGGGAAACACTTAAAATAAATCCATTTTCAGTAAAATGAAAATGGAGACTTTTAGTTTTAAAGGTTGAACTACAAACTCAATGAAGAACTAGAAAATTTAAGTAACCCTCACTTTTATAAGAAAGTCATAGGTCGGGGGAGCCTGGGTGGCTCAGTCGTTAAGTGTCTGCCTTCTGCTCAGGTCATTCCAGGGATTGAGCCCCGCATCAGGCTCCCTGCTCAGTGGGGAGCCTGCTTCTCCCTCTCCCCCTGCTTATGTTCTCTCTCTCTCAAATAAATAAATAAAATCTTTAAAAAAAGTCATAGGGGCGCCTGGGTGGCTCAGTCGTTAAGTGTCTGCCTTCGGCTCAGGTCATGATCCCAGGGTCCTGGGATCGAGCCCCGCATCGGGCTCCCTGCTCCACAGGAAGCCTGCTTCTCCCTCCCCCATTCCCTCTGCTTGTGTTCCCTCTGTCGCTGTGTCTCTCTCTGTCAAATAAATAAATAAAATCTTAAAAAAAAAAAAAAAGTCATAGTTCCTCAGCTGAATTATCTAAAGAAAATTTGGTAAGTTATTTTCCTATTATCTTTAAAAAGAAAAATGCTGGTCTAATGTCATTATATTGCACTATAGGCACTAAAGAAATTATTTTCTTTTACTACCTTTTTAGTATTAAACTTTCTCTTGAAACAACTTGACACTTGCACATTCATACAGAAAATGTGACATAATTTTATGTTTTAAATATGGGTCTGTTTCTTCATGTACTTAAAAGCAGCAGGATTTTGTAAAGGGCAGATTATGATTTTTTAAGTTTCATGAAGACAGCATATTTTAGTGAAAACTATTTAAGAGTTCTGGAGTAAAAGTTCAGGGTTTAGTGGCTCAGTCAGGTGAGCAACTGCCTTCGGCTCAGGTCATGATCCCAGGGTCTGGGATCCAGCCCCACATCGGGCTCCAGCCCCACATCGGGCTCCCTGCTCAACAAGGAGCCTGCTTCTCCCTCTCCCTCTGCCTGCTGCTCCACCTGCTTGTGGTCTCTCTGTCAAATAAATAAATAAAAATCTTTAAAAAATTTTTTTCAGGGTTTAAAGCCTTGTTTTGTTGTTACTAGCTATATGACCTTGCACAAATTACAAATTCTCTGTTTCCTGATCTAGGCTATGTACAAAATGGCTGTCATCACCTCCATCACTTAGTTGTTAAGAGGGCTGTATTTAATTCCTCACACAGAGTAGCCACTCAGTAACTTCCATTCTACCTTCCTAATGATATCAAACTAAGATCAGTGCACTACTCTAAGAAAACACAAGTTAATTAATAAAGTCCCCGAAGTTAAATACAACATCATGGACAGATGAAAGAAGCATGCTGGCTCATGTCTGTCAAATAACATACTCAAGACATTTATATGCCTCAACTGCAGTTATCTCTTTCTTGGAGTTAATAACCACACGACCCTCCCAACTTTAAAAAGTTTAGAGGAGACTATCTGCTGCTTGAAACTAAGGCAGAGGGGAAGGTTGTGGGGGAAGGGCACATACAATTTAGAGGAATAATTAAACAGCCACAGCTTTCTGCAAAGATATAAATTCCAATGCAGTGCATTTACACTTCTCGCCTTTAGCTCTAACATGTTACACACATCCCTCTGCTAGTGAGTAGTGTTTTCCAAACCCCAAATTTTCTTAATTCACCCATCTGGCTGTGAAAGCTTTATATTCCTAAGAGCAATCAATGATTATTTGTTGTTCCTTGCCACTGTACTTACTCTAAACTTTAGAATCTATAGAATCTAAAGAATGGAAAGGATTTCTCCTCTCTTTCCATTTTAAAAAAGGTATTAATTGAAAACAAAATACATTAAGTGGCAGATACACTGATGTATACAAGTGTCAAAATTCACTGACCAAACATTTAAGATCTGTGCATTTAACTGTATGCAAATTATACCCCAATTTTTAAAGTTCATACTAATCACTTTCATAAAAGGCTGAATGAGAATACCCATGAAAGAATACCCTAATAAAACAGCCAGCTTTTTAAAAAATTACCAATATTCAAGAAAAAACACAAAGAGGGAGAACCTTTAGATTAAAAGAGACTTAAGAGATATGCCAACAAATACAATACACAGATCTTAATTCAAACAAATCAACAGTATAGAAATTATATTTGGAGAGCTTTGAACCCTAAGGAAATATCTGATATTAAGGAATTAACTAATTTTTTTAAGGTGTGGTTATATTCTTTAAATAACTTTTATGTAAAAAACAATCTTTTCATCTTTTAAATCTGAGTGATTTAGTTTTTTTTCCTTTTAGCTTATCTGTATTTCCTAGTTATTCTACTTTAATAAAATGGTATAATAAAGGTATTAAAATACTTAACTATCCCAAGCAGCTGGTTTTAAGTGCATGTTTGGACCTTTTTTTTGCAAACATAATCGTATATTGTCAGCATTACTGATAAAGAGAGGTTGACTCAGTGTGACCTTCACTGAACTTTAAAAGTATGATTAAGTCGAGGGAAATGGGTGGCTCAGTTGGTTAAGCATCTGCCTTCAGCTCGGGTCGTGATCCCAGGGTCTTGGGATGGAGTCCCGCATCGGGCTCCCTGCTCAGCGGGAAGCCTGCTTCTCTCTCTGCCCTCTGCCTGTCACTCCCCCCTACCTGTGCTCTGTCAAATAAATAAAAATCTTAAAAAAAAAAAATAAGTATGAAAAGTTGAGTAATTAGATGGAAAAATTCAGTCAATTCAAGAAATATGTACTGACCACCTACCATGTGTGCACACCACTGATGTAGGCAGCATACAAAGCAATAAAGAAGACTTTAAAAATCAGTAAGACAGAGATTCAAATCCAGACTCTGCTACTTACTAGCTGTGTTGCCTTGGGCCAATTACTTAACCTCTCTAAACCTTGGTTTCCTCACCTATAAAATGGATATAAAAACAGACACTTTTCCAAAGAAGACATCCAAATGGCCAACAGACACATGAAAAAGTGCTCAACATCGCTCGGCATCAGGGAAATCCGAATCACAATGAGATACCACCTCACACCAGTCAGAATGGCTAAAATTAACAAGTCAAGAAACAACAGATGTTGGCGGGGATGTGGAGAAAGAGGAACCCTCCTCCAGTGTTGGTGGGAATGTAAGCTGGTACAGCCACTCTGGAAAACAGCATGGAGGTTCCTCAAAAAGTTGAAAATAGAGCTACCCTACGACCCAGCAATTGCACTACTGGGTATTTACCCCAAAGATACAAATGTAGGGATCCGAAGGGGCACGTGCACCCCACTGTTTATAGCAGCAATGTCCACAACAGCCAAACTATGGAAAGAGCCAGGATGTCCATCAACAGACGAATGGATAAAGAAGATGTGGCATATATATACAATGCAATATTATGCAGCCATCAAAAGGAATGAAATGAATGAAACAACATGGATGGAACTGGAGGGTATTATGCTGAGCGAAATAAGTCAATCAGAGAAAGACATGTATCATATGATCTCACTGATATGAGGAATTCTTGATCTCAGGAAACAAATTGAGGGTTGCTGGATTGGTGGGGGGTGGGAGGGATGGGTGGTTGGGTGATAGACACTGGGGAGGGTATGTGCTATGGTGAGCGCTGTGAATTGGTAAGACCGTTGAATCACAGACCTGTACCTCTGAAACAAA